CTCCCATTGTTTTTTCCCTGACATCGGTTGCTCGACAATTTCCCTATACAAAATAGCTAAACACGTAGAACCTCAACTATATCGCTTGGTTCTACGTAAATTAGTCAAAAATTGTATGAGGTGTAATTTGTTACCTGTTTTGTCAGGCATCAAAACACCTCCGATTAACCCTAATATATATGCCTTAGCATGGACATGTAGTTGGTCCTCTGGTAGTAACATGTTATCTCTTAGCCACTTCAGTTTAACCATTACTCCAATGAGCGATTCACCTTTTGTTGGCATGATTCCCAAGTACATGTCACACATTTCTTCCCAGTCGAACATTGTAGGTCCAATAATCGGATGATCATCCACTCGTAGTCCAAGTTGTAATGCAACATCTTCTAATGTGATGTTACATTCACCTATGAGTATATGAAATGTATGTGTTTCAAGTCTTTATCTCTCCACTAAAACTAAGACTAAATTGTAGTCAAATTTTAGATGTCTTAATCTTGCCACTTTCCCAAAACCAGCTTCCTCTAGTATACGAACAACTAGAGGGTGTGGCTCGGGCATTGAGTGACAATGTGAAGACACAATATTATCATTAGGCTCTTGCAATAATAGAAAATTTAGATAAACATGGTTAAATATAACTAATGTAATTAGTAAACAAAGACAAGCATATAAAAAATATGGCATCAGAATATTACCATTGTTCTTATGGAAGTAGACATATGCTCAACTTGTTTCCATAGTAATATTATTAAAGATTGTAGTCTTTTTTTTTTTTTCAGATACACAAAATATAATTAAAGTTAGTAAGATTTCTCGAGAACTATTGCAAATGAGAAACTACAAAAGATACTATATATAAAGGTAGGTGTGCACAGTGTGTATACCCTACGAGTTGATCTTGACCGCTATTTTTTGTTGTCACCTAGGGTAGTGTGTCAAGGCATGGTACAGAAGAATCTTATCAGGAATATTGGCCTCTGTGCTATGACTTGGTTTATAGTTTTTATAATAACGAATTCAATAGTAACAAATTTGAGTGTCAAATGTGTTGTTAAATTGAAGAAAAATGAATCAAAAGTAGGGAAAAAAAATCACAAAATTACATATTACATAACTTATCATAGTGGTCATTTCATTGACTTTATTCACCACTTTGATAATATTATTTAGCATGATATTTGGTCTTGGTTTATAGTTTTTATGACAACGAATTTAATGGTAACAAATTTAAGTATTAAATATGTCGTTAAATTGAAGAAAAATTAATCTAAAGTAGGGAAAAAAAATCATAAAATTATATGTTACATAACTTATCACTTTCGTTGTTTCATGAACTTTATTTATCACTTTGATAACATTATTTAGCATGATCTTTGATCTTGGTTTATAGTTATCACGATGACGAATTCCATGGTAACAAATTTGAGAGTCAAATATGTTGTTCAATTGAAGAAAAATGAATCAAAAATAAGGAAAAAAAATCATGAAATTACATTTTATATAACTTATCACTTTGGCCATTTCATGAACTTTATTTACCATTTTGATAACATTATTTAACATGATTTATGGTTTTGGTTTATAGTTTTCACGACAACAAATTCAATGGTTACAAATTTGAGTGTTAAATATGTTGTTAAATTGAAGAAAAATGAATCAAAAGTAGGGAAAAAATTACATGTTACATAACTTATCACTTTGGTCATTTCATTAATAATTTACCATTCTGATAATATTATTTAGCATGATATTTGGTCTTATTTTATAGTTTTCACGACAAAGAATTCAATGGTAAAAAAATTTGACTATCAAATATTTTGTTATATTGAAGAAAAATTAATCCAAAGTAGGGGAAAAAAATCATAAAATTATATGTTACATAATTTATTACTTTGGTCGTTTCATGAACTTTATTTACAACTAACATTGAGTTATTTGTTACGTTTCAATCTCATTCATCTCAACACCAAATGCTAATTTCTTTTTCCTCGCCAAATGCCAATTTCTTTTTCCTCGCCTTCCTATGTACATTTACCAGTACTAAACTCACAACCTAAATTTTCTTATCCACAACGTGAATCTTCTTATCACCCTTCACCATCAAACCTAGACGAAAATAATCCTTCCTTTTATACTTATTGGGAATCAGATATTCAAACCACATTTTCAGCCAACCCATCCATGGAAGAACATGTCTTATTAGGCCTTCCATATGAAACTTATGACCCTTTTAGTGATGACAAAGATGACATCCTCGCTAATAGTTCGGATGAGGAAGATGATGAAGAACCCCAACTAGAACTTGTCATTGAACCTACCCAAACCACCTACAACCCACCTGAACAATTTACCCAATTCCACTCTACCATGAATGACATTGATCCCAAATTTGTCGATGTCCTTAACCGAGAATCATTTGTATACACCCCTAGGACATTGTTTGTTGGTCAACGCTTTAACAACAAACAAGATGTCACAGATGCAATAAACAGGTTCCACATCATGCACCATTGCATATACAAGGTACAAATTTCAAGCCAATCTAGGCTTGTAGTGCAATGTATTCATCCAGAGTGTGACTGGAGGTGCAGAACAATATTGCGGACCAGAGAGCAATATTGGCAAATAATGAAGTTGGAAGGTAGCCACACTTGCATGACCCATTAATATCTCAAGATCATAATAAGTTGGGATCACGCCTTATTTTTCAAACAATCCAAGAAATTGTCGATGTTGATTGCTCAACCCTTGTGTCAACCATAATTGCCCATATTAAGTTTACACGATTAGATATCGAAAGACATGATTAACGAAGTAGTTAGCCATCAAGAAAATATATAACAATTAGGAGGAGTTGTACAAAAAGTTGCCACATCTTCTGAAGGGGAAATAATTAATGCTTGGTTTTTCTTTTTAAAGAACCTAAGAAGATATGTCACCCCACAAGATGGACTATGCCTCATTTCTGATCATCATGAGTCCATATGAAGTGCTTACTCAAGGGAGGGCAACGATTGGACACAAAACAATTTTATACATGTGTATTATATTCGACATATTATACATAATTTCATGAGAAGATTCAAGAAAAATTCACTTAAGAAGGATATTGTCAACATGGGTAACTTCTGTTATTTTCTAAACTAATTATTCTCTTTATATTTTAATTAACTCAAGTACCTAATTTATTTCAATTATTTTGTAAACAACAGATGGAATGACTGAGCCTAGATTCTTTTACTATTACAACATAGTATGAAATGAAGACCTAGAGGCAACAAAATGGTTAGATGAAATCCTAAGTTAGAAATGAACACTAGCTTGGGACAACGGTCAACGTTGGAGACATATGACCACTAACTTAACAAAACAATCAATTCGATCCTAAAAAAGACAAGGAACCTTTCGATTTCCTCCTCGTTGAAAACAACTTACATATGTTGCAATAAGTTATTCACTGAGAGAGGTAAAGAAGTGGCAGCATGATTATTGGTGGACATGTATATGCTGAAGTGGCAGCCAAGACTTTGGACGATGCACATACAAAGGCAAACACTCATAAAGTGATTGAATTTGACTAGATGAGTATAAGATTTCTGTTAGATGAAATTATCAATTCAAGAGAAGTCAGACCAATTTGTAGTAAGGCTAGACGAATCATGGTGTGATTGTGGTAAATTCCAAAAACTTCACTTATCATGTTCGCACGTAATAGCTGCTTGCAAACACGCACAATATGATTTTACCACCTAAATAAATCTTGTTTATACTTTAGTACAAGTCAATAAGGACTATGATAAACTGTTTGGAGAATTAAGGAATGAAGATTATTGGTAATCTTACATGGGCCAACTTTGAAACCAAATCTAGAAATGAAGAGAATTACAAAAGGTTGTCCAAAGTCAAAGTGAATAAGAACAGAAATAGACATCACAGAAAGTCAATCTCGTCTCAAAATTTATTTCCTTTATCACACAGCTAGTCGTACCAAAAGAACGTGTCCTAATGTTATTCCTCCGTAAAATTAATATATTTTTTGTATCATATATTATTTTTAGATTGTTTTAATTTAATAAATAAATTTTTAATTTTATGTTATTTTTTTATAATTCTAATATTATCATAACATTTTTTTAACTAATTGAGTATAAATTAACTTTATTTTATTTTTAATATCATTTAATCATAATAAATCAAATAATGTTAATATATTTATATGAAAAAAATTAAAAAATTAACATATCTTAATATATAATTATATAAATATATCAATATACTAAAATTTAAATATATAAATATATGTCAAATACAATTATATCAATATATAAATATATAAATATACAATTATTAAATAAATTTTAATATTTAAAAACATATTTACATATATAAATATTTAATTATCTAAACATATAAAAACATTTAATTATATAATTATATAAATATATTCATATATTAATATTTAACTATATAATTATATATATATTATATATACAAATATATAAATATTTAAAATATATAAATATAATAATTTTTAATTATATCCGATTCCCAAAAAACTTACTGGTTTTATGGTTCTAATTGTACATTCTCGTCCAGAATTTGGTTCCTCCATAACTAAATTCTGACCTTTCACGTAAATAAATTTATTTAGATAAACAAAGTAGCAGAAAATCTGTTTTAATAAATAATGATTTTTTAATATTATTTCGACAAAAAAAAGTCAAAATCTGTATATTGATACTTATGAGTATTGATTAATTCTTATAAAATAATTTAAAAATATAACCAGTGCTGGTACAATAACTAGTTATCACAAATGTGCGATCATCATCCTTTCTCCATTTCTCCATACGTGGCACCATTTTGGCGTGTGTCTCATCAGTTGGTTTGAAGACATCCCCAAACATCCACAGTGTCTTTCGAAATCATAGAATCCAACGGAACCAACTTTTCTTAACCCAAGCCTCCATATCTCTCTCCCATCTTCTGTAACAACAATGGTAGTAACTAAGGCATTGCTACCTCCTCATCCACACCCTTTATGTTCTCTTCCAATTCCCACCAAAACTAGAGGCCTCACCCTCCACCAAGTAAACCCTTTGTTGGAGTTCAGGTTGGAGAAGAGAAAGCCAAGGAAACGTGTGGCTCATGTATCACTGCTTGACCCTTTGGTTTCTTCTTCTACTCTTTCTGACTTTTTCATCCACCAACACCAGCAAAACCCTTATAGCCTTGTTTTGCTGGCTGAGAGTGTGGGCTATTCATTGGCCAGCTATTACACTTCTTTGGGTCTCTTTGTGATCTCTGTGCCTGGCCTTTGGTCCCTCATTAAACGTTCTGTTAAGTCTAAGGTAATTTCCATGTTTATTTGTTAGATTTTGTCTAAGAATTGCTAGCAAAACTTTTTTTTTTTTAGTGCATTTTCCTTGGATTGTTTACACATACGTCTAATATGTGTTCGTCCTTAATAAACTGTTTTAGTCTCTATAATTTCGGATGACAAAGACTAGTACTGTTTATGAAACCTGTTGGTAGAAAGAATAAATGCCTCGTTGTTAAGTTTAGAAACTTGAGCATAAAAATTGTAAAATTAAAAGAATAAAATGGGCAATTAGACCTACCCAAAAATAACAAGTATATATTTCTTATAATCTCGTCTTCAACAAACTCTGTTTCTGATTTCTTTTATTTTTTTTTTTAGTTTTCAATCGATTTTAATGGACTAGCACTTTTTTTGTTCAGTTGTTGGCTTTTTTTGTTGCATTGACTGTTTTGGTGTGCTTTGGTGGATGGGTAATAGATAGTGCAGAAGACTTTTATAGGTGAAGTTGAAAAGAAGGCCCCGAACCAGGTTGCTGGGGAGATTCTATCGTTTTTCACTCGTAACAACTTTGCAGTGACTGATAGGGGAGAGACAATCACGTATGTCACTGCCTCATTCTTGTATTGTGAATGTTCTTGCTTGTTTTGGATTTTTTTCTTGGTACCTTTCTCTCTATCTATAGTCAGGAAGCAAAATGTATTGTTTTAATTGTTCTTCCACCAAAACTAAACCACATTTGGAAACTGCAGTGGTTTTCCTTTTATAAAAGGTTCTCACATGAATTATGAGTATGCTTATCGAGATGATTTGTATTTGTTCTAGGGAAACTTAAGCATCCATGTTAGTTCCTTCCTAATAATAGAAAGAGTTTAATTTTCATGAACTCTTATATCTTTACATTATCAACAATGAAATGGTAGGAATGGCTTGCTAAATGGAAGAACTGTTCTCAGGTGAGAACATGCTCTTACATTAAATAAATAATTTTATTGCTCAGAATAACGTGGGATCAGTTGAAATAAAAGAATGGCAAAGTTCTTTATTTTGATGGGCCAACATGGTCTTGTATAAAGTAATTTAAGAACCCAAAAGTTGGTTATCCCATGGTGATGACTATGGTGAGATTTCTTGATCATGGTTTCTGTATCGATTTTCTTGAAGACAAATTTGGAGATACAATTATACTTTCCTTCTTTTTTTCTACTTCTTTTTGGGCATATTCTTTTATATGATGTGAATACTCATGCAGGGTGCAAGGCCCATGTCTTCTTTACAGATGGTTTGCTGTGAGCAAGCTGAAATGTTCAACCCCTCTTAATTAGTTGAAAAACTTGCAGGTTTGAAGGACAGATGGTTCCAAGCAGGGGTCAAGCAGCACTACTAACTTTCTGCACTTGCATCAGCTTGGCAAGCGTGGCGCTCGTGCTTACCATAACCTTCTCAGATGTTGGCAACAACTGGTTTTGGATCACCATCTTAAGCCCATTGGCGTAAGTGATTACACACCGAAACCTTACGTTACACTTTATTTTTATTTTCATTATAATTTACTGTTATTGTCTTGTTATGCTGATACTCAAATACATTGGGGGATTAATGCAGAGGCATTTATTACTGGACTCGGGCATCCAGAAAGGAACAGATTAAAGTAAAAATGATAGTTGCAGATGATGGAAACTTAACCGAGATCGTTGTCCAAGGTGATGATCAACAGGTCGAGCAAATGAGGAAGGAACTCAAATTCAGTGAAAAAGGAATGGTGTATGTTAAAGGCGTCTTTGAAAGATGACCTATTTCTCGTAGCGGTAGAATCCGAATGAAAAAGAATGTTGAAATCAATTTTATTTTGTATTTGAGAAAAACTAATAATCATAACCAAAATCATGTAAAAAATAGGTAAATTTATTATTTATAGAACCGTGAAATAAACACGATTTTTATCCTGGTGCATTATCATTTCATTCAATTTTTGTGAAAAGATCTTCAAAAGAGGACCCTGCACATAAAAAATAAAAAAAGTTTATTATTGATTAGAAAAGAGTTATAAGTAAAACTATATTAGAAAAAAAAAATTCCATTCCACTAATCTCCCCTTCTACTAGGAGCTGCAACTGAATTTTACTCATTTCCAAATCATCAGGTGGAGATCGAGAACCTTGTATTTTATCTTAATCTTAATAAATATGCATGCATTGCCATTCAACCGTGGCTTCTCTTTGCCATTCTCATTGCAACTGAATCTGTTATGGCGACTCTGTTTGAAGGAATTGCAGGAACCAGGTTATGGCGACTCCAAGTTACGAATTTGTTAAGCAAATGTAAAAATGTAAAAATGTTAAACGTGATGCGAAATTCAATATTCCTGAACTTGTCATATGCTAAGCAAAAGCCTGATGATTATTGATATAAGTCTTGCCAAAAGTTTACAGTTACAATTTCCATGTTACACAAACCACCTACTAAAAACATACTCATCAAGTACTTAACGGTAAAAGACGTCTTCAAGGCACATTGTAACATTATCCAAATAAAAAAATAAAATAAAATAAACTCATCTAACTTGTGTGCAGCATAAACATTTTCAACCAATCAATAACTTGTTCTCTTCCAAGAAGGAATAGGTAGGAACCTCCAGATTGTATGGTGCTGGTCCCTTCCTAATTCTGCCAGAAATATCATAATGTGATCCGTGGCATGGGCAAAACCACCCACCAAAATCACCAGCATTTGGCAATGGAATGCAACCCAAATGGGTGCAAACACCAATCACAATGAGCCATTCTGGGTCCTTCACTCTATCTGCATCCTGTTGGGGATCACGAAGAGACAGAATGTCTACATTGTTTGCCAACTTGATATCATCCTCAGTTCGGCGCCTGATGAACACTGGTTTTCCACGCCACTTAACGGTCACCGTGGTGCCAGGCTCAATGCCAGTGAGATCAACCTCAAGTGAAGCCAGTGCAAGAACATCCTTACTAGCAGACATGCTAAGCACAAACTTGAGGATTAGGAGACGGATCAGAGAGGCGTAAACGAACCTACCACCTGTAAGGACGAAGTAAGCAAATGCCCTCTTGCTAGGGTCACCTGGGGGAAACCTTTCATGGTTGTGCTCGTCATAGACAATCCTAGAAGTAGGGTTCTTAACAGCAGCAATGGTTGCTGGAATCTCAGGAATAATGCTGTTTTCTTTTGTGTGGATCAGTGATTCAGTAGCAAAACCTAAAACAAATTACATCAGTTAACTCGGTTCCTTTAGTTAACCAAAAAACTAACGAGTTAAATATATTTTCAGACATTAAAATAGGGGAATTGTTTGCTTTTAGTTCCTAAAAGGAATTATATTTTATGCAAATGTGTCAAGTGTGGTTCCTTCCACTTAACACCTGAAAACATTTCTGTAAATGAGAAACAAAATCAAACATTTTATTAATTTATATAGACCATAAACATATTTAACCCAAAAGTAATGGTGTGTGAATTACTGGACAAACGGTATGCTTCAACCTAATTGAGAATCGACTTCACAAAGACTAGGCATAGGCACAATTGAAAACCACAAAACTAAACCCCAGAGTAAAACAACAAGAAGCAAATACTATTTCCTCCTTGTTATTAGTATACAATACACCACTTAGTCCACCGGAGTAGAAAAATAGAGAGAAATGTTAGCAACATTCTTTCTTACTAGTAGTAACACTTTTTATATAGAACATATTTGGACTAGCTTCTCAATGAACACTTCTAGAAGAGAAAAAATGAAATAGACTCCGCAAGCTAAAATTAGATTATGTACTAGTTAAAAATAAAAATTTAGAAAAACCATATGAGAAAACTTCTGCAAATTAGATTATGCATAAGTTAATTTTAGTTTACGAGGCAGCTACTTTCAATTTTTCTTTCTTAGAAATGTTTACAGAAAACTTCGTCCAAACTACTCCTAACGAGTTTCACTACTAATTTTGCAGTTTCGATCGATAAAAAAAAAAAGTGTATTAAAACGTTTGTTGCTAACAAGGGCCAGGGTAACAAAAGGTTCAGCAACTGCAACTGCAACTGCAACTGTAGTCACAATGTTATGAGAATTTTGTGACCGTAATTGCAGCATCACACCAGCTGCCACGATAATCTGGGAAATCGAGGATCACAATGAAATGAATCTTCCATCACCGTAAAATCTTGCTCGTGACAGTAGCAAAAAGAGATACTACATTTTTTTTTTCCATGATTCTGGAAAGTTTAGAACAACTCATACAAATTCCTTAACCAACAAAAAACCAAGCAAGTACATCTTGATAAGTGATACCCTACATTCAACATTCTCAAACACTCCTTATATTTAGCATTTGACCTAATAAAGCACATGTTTGAACGAACTTATTTAGAAGGACTTCCAAGGAAGAAAACTCTTCAAAAAAATGATTTATCAGTAAATTCAAATTAGCTTATTAAAAAATTAAAAATAAAAATTAGGATAAGTTACTATAAATTAGTTTATATGATAATTGAATTTCATCAGAAGCTGGTCTAAAATATTCATAGGCATCAACAGTCTGGACAATCAAGTAAAGAATAAGTCAACTCAAAAAAATTTGGAAAGAGAGGGGAAATGGTAAATGGGAACCTCTGAAGGGAAGAAGGAAATTGCTGAGTTGGGGGGAAGGCGCGGATCTGCGGTCATCAACCACGACGTTTTCGGAGAGGAAAACGGAAGCAGCGTGGAAGGGTCGGGACGGAGGAGAGGAGAGAGAAGAGAGTCTCCTTGCTGCAACCCTCAACATGGTGTTCTAAATTCTTTCTCTGCCCCTCCTTTTTTTTTCTTTATTATTGCAGAAAGATGAGAATTTGGTGGAAGGATTGCAGTGTATCTTAACGTGGGTTTTGCAATTTTGAGGGAAAAAGGAAAAGTTACTGCACCTGGGTTCATTCTATTCTAGTTTATTCCTATTCATTCATTAGTCATCAATGTCGGCATATTCTTTATTTTTATTTGTATCTCTAATTCTTATCCTTGATTTTTTTTTTCTTCAATTCTAACATTTCATATTTTAATAATATTTAAGACATTTATATTTAATAATTTTAAAATAAATGTTTAATTTTTTTTAATATATTAAAGGTCTTAAATATATTATATCCTTAACATATTCACTCTTTCAAAGTTCTAATAAATTCTCCTAATTTATTATTAGAATACAAGAAATGAAAATATCAAATAATTAAAATTAATCCCGATAATTCATAGAGATTCCAATCTATACAATTTATTAGTCATATCTTTTTCATAATATTTATAATATATTATTAATAATAATTAATTCATAGTAATTATAATACGCATAAAATGTATAAAGATGTATAATCTATTAGTCATAATTTGATTTTTTTTCTACAATATTTGAAATATCCTTCCTCAAAGTAGATGAAGATTTTGAATAACCAACTTGTTAAACATGCAATAAAATTATACACACCTTAAAATTTTGATAAATGTGTGCAAGGTTATATATAAATGAGAATACAAAATGGTTGTAAGTATTTAAAAAGTATCTCATTACTACTTGAATATGTTTGGTGCATTTATTAAATACTTAATTATGTGTAGTACAACTTGACTATTTATGTCTAAACATATATTTTTTACATAGAAAAATGTCAATAGGTGATTTAGCCACTTCTATCCCCAAGAAATATTTCAATTTTCTCAAGACTTTTATTTGAAAACATTTGTTCAAGTAATCTTTAAACCATTGGATAAGTATATGATTATTTTCACATATGATTAGATCATCAACATAAATGACCTTCCACACGATATCACCCTCTTTAAAGTAATTATTTCTTGCTCGCTTATTATAAGATATGGTAATTAGATTTTTTTGATATTCTATTTTGCTCTAGAACATTTACCTAACTTTGTCTAATGCATTCAACTTATCAAACATCATATCTCAACAATCTGATCTAGGTATATCATTTTGTTTTTGAATCCAAACTGATTGCACATTAAATTCGATAGGTAACACTGCATCATGGCCATAGACAATTTTTAGTGGAGTTATTTTTATAGAATCTTTTGAAGAATTCCTATAAGCCCATAATACTTGAAGTAACATTTCATGTCAACTTTTTGGCTTGTCCCCAATATGATAATATATCCTTTAATATATTTATGTTCTTTAGACGAATGTGGATAAATTTGTCCAATTAAATCTATTGTCTATCGTTTAAAAGACCAAGATTTAATCATTAAATGCAGCTCACTCGCTAGCACATTTTGAATCAGTCCAACTTTTTTATATTCTTCATAAGATTTAGTATATTCAATACAATCTTTTAAAATTAAGGGTGAATAATATCCTTGTCGATATGATACCTATTTCATTTTCTCACGAAACATATGCGCTCCACAACTTCCATTATGGACTTTCGCCATAGCTATATATGCCTCATTTCTCTAGAGCATCAAAGTAATACCACATCCATGCCTCTCTTGTATAATTCATTATTCAATACAACATAATTCATGGCCCAATATGTTGTTTTTCTATCAACAAGTTTATTGGGGTCATTCAAATACTCGAGTATTGGGAGTCTCCAATCACCATTGTCTAGTTAATTTATTTGAAAAACTTTAAGTTTTTTGACTAATTTTTCTTTAATTTGTATCAACTTGTCGAAAAATTGATCTAGAATTTTATATGTCAAAGCTGTTTGCCCTAACTCGTTGGCCTCACAATTATTTTCTGAGATATGTGTTCGAAACTAATATCATCAAACTTAATTATGAACACAAAAACCTTTTTCAAATACTTAAGCAAATTTGAATTTAAACATTTGTATTATCGATCCACTTGCTTAATAACTAATTGTGAATCCCCTCGAACCAACATTACTTTTGCTTGAAGTTCAATTAATGTTTCTAACACTAAAATTAGAGGTTCATATTTAGTCTCGTTATTAGAACACTCTAGCTTTATTTCAAGCAATAGGAATATTTGTGGATGAAATAATGACTATTCCTACTCTTGTTTTGTTTGTAATACTTGAACCATTAAAATATAATATCCATCAGTTTGTTTTTTAGACTAACAACTCATCTATTTTAACATGTGTGTGATCGGCCCCAAAAAAATCAGTCATAAATGAAAAGTAGGTTTATATAATAATAATAAATAGGTTTATATAATAATAATTAAATATATTATTCTTCAAGAAAATAATTACATCACGGGTTAAAATAATGTATAAGTTTACAACAAGAAATTGCATTATATCTTGTTTCAACATCTATCAATAATCGACTTAAATAATAAATAACACATTCCATTCCATTTGCATCTTTCTACGATAACATGCTTGCTATAGTATTCTCTAATGTCGAGACCTATAACCTCAATAGCTTTCCTCGAATCATTAGAATTTATATAGGAGGATTGACTAGTGTCTGTCTTTATTTTTTTGAATGCCTCTTGATGTTGATGATCCCATTTAAATTCACTCTCTTTCTTTAATATCAATAATGAATAGTGGATCTTGACCATTGATATTGGAGGGGTCAAATAATATATTATTAATAAATAAATATAAAAAGAAGAAAGAAGATGAAAGGGTGAAAGGATAAAATTGTAGATATATACTTAAATATATTAAATGATCATTAAGTTTGAGTTTGAGGGGGACAAAATTATAAATTATATGAGAGTTATAAAACTAAGGAGGGGCTAAGAGGATAAATTTGTAAATATACAAGTAAATATATTAAATATTCATTAAGTTTGGGGGGGGGGGGGCAAAATCATAAATTACATGGGAGCTACAAAACTTGAGGGGAGCCACGACCCCCCTCAGCTCCGAAGAAGATCTACCACTGATGAAGAAAACACATAAGTTTTGCCTGTCAATTTTGAGATAAACCTTCTCAAATAATTAATTTTACCCAATAAAGATTGTAATTCTTTTTATTTCTAAGAGCACTAGTTTCAATTATTGCTTTCTCTTTGATTTTATCAATTTCGATCCCTTTTTTATGAACAATAAATCCTAAAAATTCCCCTATAGTTACACCAAAAATACATTTCAATGGGTTCATTTTCAAACCATTCTTCTCATTCTTTCAAAGGCTTGTTTTATTTATCAAAATAAGGCTCTTTCAATTAAGATTTAATCATAATATCATTTATGTAAACTTGCATAAAATCTCCAATTAAATCATGAAAGATCAAATTCATAACCAATTATTCATAAGTATTTAATGCCATAGGGAATCAAAATGCAGTTTTTGATGTAATTTTCAACAATAAAAATTTGGTTATATTAAGAATATTGAAGAAGTCAATTTTGTTGCCTAGATATTATCAAAGAATATGCAAAGAAAATAATACAGTGCTAAAGCTAGCCTAAGTCATTTCCTCGAGGAGAATTATTTAATTTTATTTAAATCTTGATTTTTCAATGCCAAATGTTAGAATTAAGGAGTATTTTAGGATTTTATTGCAAAAAAGTAAATTAAAAGCAGTAAACTAAGAAACCATTTGAAAACAATAAACTATTCTAAAAAAAAAGATTAAATCAAAGTAATAAACCTAAACTCTGAAAGCAATTAAAAAAAATAGTAAATGAAAGCTTGTAAGTATACTCTATGAAAACTGTAAATGCATAACAAGTAAAAGCATTTAATTAGATATACTTATATAAAGTAGTAAAATCTTGAAGAACATGGTAAACTAAAGATTATAACAAAAACAAAATCATAGTGATAACTAAAATGAATTTCAACTAAGAATAGTGAAGAATATAGTAGAAAAATTTATTTGATTCTCCAATCATAAATTTACTTTTATGATTATCATTATTTTTTAGGATTTATCTTACAAACCCAAAAACAAATCCACAATAGTTTAAACAATTACAATCCAATTAAAATCCATGAACACAACTTAATTCCTAAATCAGAAATCACTTAAACCTAGAAATTGACTTATATTGTAAATGAGACATTCAATCAAAATACCTCAATTAAATTGATAATAATAAATTATAATCGGTTAGAATCGTTAATAAGTAAATAAGAACTAATACCTTGAATATTTTCTAATGTCTGGCCTATTGCCTTTACAAAAATTAATTTATTTTATTGTTCAACTTTCAATAAATAATAAATAATTACAAGAAAAAAATCATTATCTCATAAAACTACATAATTTAATATTAGAAGGTAAAGACTTTAAATTATAAAATAATGATTTAATTTAAGCTCTTTATTTTCAACAAAATCTAGAATCTTTTTATGGAATTTATCAACTCTTTTTTTTTTCTAACATATTTTTGCCAAGCACAACCAAAATTTGCCTTCTATTTTGCATTTTCACAATTTTTCAATTTTGGAGATTTTTTTGTTGAGATTCAACTTTCACTTAGAATTTTTCTCGTTATCATCTTTAAGCACTATAACATTTTTGTTGAGAAAATTCAACTTTCGCTTAACGGTAATTGTATAGGTTGGATGTTCTATATTTTTCTCGTTGAGCGAAAAAAGCCTTTGCTTAACGCCCATATTAGCTTTTGGGAAAAATTCACTTCTAGTTGTTTTTGCATAATTTTCCCTCAACAAGTTCAGTCTCACTCAATGTCATTTTTCACTAGAGCTACTAGATGTTTTTTGTTAAGTGAATTTAGCTTCTACTAATCATTTTCATCTCTCCTCTCCCACATGTGGTACAACCTCAATGTTGTTAAGTTGTTGCTTAACACCAACTTCAAATTTAAGCATAGAGAGGTT